GTAGCCTCGTCTGACGTAATCACGCGTTGCGTAGCCTCGTCTGACGTAATCACGTGTTGCATAGCCTCGTCTGACGTAATCATGCATTGCGTAGCCTCGTCTGACGTAATCACGCGTTGCGTAGCCTCGTCTGACATAATCACGCATTGCGTAGCCTCGTCTGACGTAATCACGCGTTGCGTAGCCTCATCTTATGTAATCGCACATTGCATAGCCTCGTCTGACATAATACCGCATTGCGTAGCCTCGTCTGATGTAATCACGCGTTGCGTAGCTTCGTCTGACATGATCACGAGTTGCGTAGCCTCGTCTAACGTAATCACGTGTTGCGTAGCCTCGTCTGACATAATCACGCATTGCGTAGCCTCGTCTAACGTAATCACGTGTTGCGTAGCCTCGTCTGACATAATCATGCATTGCGTAGCCTCGTCTGACGTAATCACGCGTTGCGTAGCCTCGTCTGACATAATCACGCATTGCGTAGCCTCGTCTGACGTAATCACGCGTTGCGTAGCCTCGTCTGACRTAATCACRMGTTGCGTAGCCTCGTCTGACATAATCACGCATTGCGCAGCCTTGTCTGACATAATCACGCGTTGCGTAGCCTCGTCTGACGTGATCACACGTTGCGTAACCTTGTCTGACGCAATCACACATTGCGTAGCCTCGTCTGACGTAATCACCTGTTGCGTAGCCTCGTCTGACGTAATCACGCGTTGCGCAGCCTTGTTTATTTGCATAAAACAGTCGAGAGGGAAACTAGATGGAAACAGTCTAGATTGGAATTTTTATTTATTTAATTTTTTTGCGAATTTTGAAAAGTTTGATAAAAATTCACTCTACAACTGGATGGAAAAACGTTTATTGGTGCATCAAAATTTTTGGACTTCCTTTCCTAAGCTGTTCTTCTTTGAACCTATTTTCAATCACTTGGCTGTTCCAGTAGGTAAAGAAATGAATATGGTCATTGGCAGCCATTCACAAGTTTTGCATACAAGTTTACCATCAATATGCAAATTACATGTACAAATTGTATTTACTTTATCGTTTGTTGGCCTGTCTTTCTGACTTTGCATTGAGTAGCTTTGAGCTATAATAATACACAAACTCCAGTCTACTCACCTAACGTTCCACAGGGTTTGTTCTTGTAGGTGCAGATGTCATATCTAAAAATGAAAAGAAAAAGAAAACACAAACATACTGTAAATATTAAATATAATATTTTTCTTTTACATTTATACAGCTTTCCATAACTAGCTGTTAGCCATTACATTCTTATTCTGTTCAATCACACAGTAGCCTACACTGTAAAAAATAACTTGTAAGATTTACTTGAGAAAATCCTGTAAACAATTTGCACTGATGTTTGTTAAGTAAATTTTAAATCCTACAAATTCATNGTGTGTGTGTGTGTGTGTGTGTGTGTGTGTGTGTCGGGGGGTGACAGTGTGGGTTCAGCACAAACACACACTGCAATGAAACCTGTTTTCTTAACTCTGTGCATAGCCTGTGCATTATCTCCAGCCCCATGATTACTGGGTGACTCTAAAGGTCAGAGATCTGACCTGAGAAGAGGAGGAGGGGGAAGAAGAGAATGGGAAGTAGGAGGAGGAAGAGGGGGGGACAACAAGCAGATGCCAGGGCACTTAAAACGACCAGGGAATGTGACGAATGCAATCCATCTGTCAAAGTAGCCCTGAGGTTGCAATATTACCTCCAAGATATACTGTGGTGCCTGCAGGGCCCTCTGCAGAGATAAGACGGAGAGAGAGAGAAGGTTTTCTGACTCCTCCTCCCTAATATCACAATCTCTACCTTACCTCCTCTATCTCTGTCCTTCAGTTTCTAACTCTCCCTCTAATTGTTCTTTTCTCCTTCTTTTCTGCTCCTCCTCTACTTGTTCTCTAACTTTTCTCTCTCTTTTTCTGCACTCCCTGTCCATCTCATTAACCGTGTTTCCATCAAGGCTTTTTGATGTGCATTTAGATGTGTCGCATTAAAAATGTGAAAAAAAAGTCGGATGCAAAATTCTAAAAAAAAAAAATCCTCAATTCGCTAAAACGTTTTTATGCTCGCTTGAGGTGGTTTTTGGATGATGCGCAAAGTAGTTAATGCACAAAATGGGAGATGGAAACACATTTGCTGAATAAATTCTGACGTAGCGCATATTTACCTCATGTGACATTCAGCTGTTTCTGCTTTCCTGCCTCGTCCCGGCGTAGTTGCACGTGCCTTTCTGCTGCGTAGTTTAACATTGCGTTTATTTCCCTAAGTCTCCTGGCAGCGTTAAACATAGCCTGTACTAGCTGAATAGATAGAATAATTACAATTTGTCCAATAGCAAGGCATTCACGAAAAAATCACTCCATTGTCCCGAGATGATTAGCCTCTACTAGTTAGCAAGTTTCACTTCCTGTTTACTACCGCAAAGCTTGTCGCCGATGTCTGACGTAATCACATGTTGCGTAGCCTCGTCTGACGTAATCACGTGTTGCGTAGCCTCGTCTGACGTAATCACGTGTTGCGTAGCCTCGTCTGACGTAATCACGTGTTGCGTAGCCTCGTCTGACATAATCCCGTGTTGCGTAGCCTCGTCTGATGTCATCACGTGTTGCATAGCCTCGTCTGACGTGATCATGTGTTGCGTAGCCTCATCTGAAGTAATCACGTGTTGCATAGCCTTGCCTGACGTAATCATGTGTTGCATAGCCTCGTCTGACGTAATCATGTGCTGCGTAGCCTCGTCTGACGCAATAACACATTGCATAGCCTCGTCTGACGTAATCACGTGTT